TGTTTTTTTTTCCCTGGAGTGGACATCGCCTGCGTGTGGCGCATCTGGCCCACCAGCCACCAGTTTGACACCCCTGCCTTAGAAGATCACCCATTTGCGGTTGGTTTTATTACAAGCAGATGAATTGTATTGCTATGATCTAGAGTAGTAATAAATATGCACCTATCTCAGTGAGCATATGCAAGTGTTAAAGTAATCAGAATTGTGGAATGCTTTTCCTATTATTGTATTAATAGCCACCCAAACTATTTTAGCTTTTTAGTTATCCTATGTTCTTTGACAACACCGATAAGCAATGGCTCACTGTGGATGGAAATACCTCAGGCATAATAATTATATGCTGTATAATCATGTCAGTCTCCCCATTTCTAGATCAAGGTAAAGTTCCCCTTGCATATACAAACTAGTTGTTTCTGGATCTAGGGGGTGGTGCTCATCTCCGTTACAAAGCCGAAGAGCCAGTGTTTCCGAAGATGTCTCCGTGGTCATTTGGCCAGCATGACTAAATGCCGAAGGCACGCAGAACGCTGTACACCTTCCCACCAAAGTGGTTCCTATCTTTCTACTTGCATTTTTACAGGCTTTCGAACTCCTAGGTTGGCAGAAGCTGGGACAAGTAACGGGAGCTCACACCGTTACACGGTGCTAGGGTTTCGAAACGCTGAATTGCCGACCTTTCTGATTGACAAGCTCAGCATCTTAGCCATTGAGCCACCACGTCTAGGTTCCTAGGTAAACCAGACTACAAAATCAATTCCAGGGGAAGGTTAAAACTATTTTGATTGAGATGGGCTGTATTAACCGAATTGTGCCAGTTTGATTATACTGTACCTTCTTCCTCTTCTTACAGTTAAGTGAATTAGGAAGGTGTCTGCCTGAACATTGTCCACGCACTGTTTTGTTGTTCTGAACTTTAAACACATTTCATCTCCTTTTGCTTAGGTAATGATTTCTGCTCATCTTCATCAGGGCCGCCTTCTTTACTCTCCACTATACACGATGTAGATATTTTCCATGCTTTCTTTATTCCGAAGGGCGTTCATTCTGTTTGGAGCGGGCTTCCACTCCATGCTCTGGTGGTTTGTTACATCTTTTGAATGCCAGGGACAGGAGAAGAAAGTCATTCAGATTGCATTGTATGCAATGTAGCAAATTCTTATTTCCTTGAACCGGCTTATTTATGGTTGAATAGTCTTTTTTTTTTTTTTCAAAAGGCTGCGTTTTGGTTCTCCAACCAAATGGAAATTTTAATATAAATTACTGGAAAAGAGTAATGATGACCTCACATGGGAGGTGGGCATGAAATGCATCTAAAAAAACTGCGGTGTTACAATAGCTATGTTATTGTGTATTTATTGTATTGTAACATCACATCACATCATGCTATGCTAACATTACATTACATTACATTACATTACATTACATTACATTATCTAGAATACAGAATAACAGAGTTGGAAGGGACCTTGGAGATCTTCTAGTCCAACCCACTGCTTATATTACATTACATTACTATGCTGTACTGTACTATGCTATTAATTGCTATGCTAATGCAATGCTATGCTATACAATACTGTACTGTACTACACTACATTACACTATACTATATGCTGTATAGGAAAGACATATATACACACTAAATGAATTGAGAAACTTATTCTGTACCCAAGTATGTTACAGTGAATAAAAAAACAGTGAATTCCCTTACTCATAGGTAAGAAGAATAAAATAAAGGATTGTTCTAAAACAATACACTTTGCATTCTGTTATATGAGATTTTTCTCTGATGGCAAGCTACTGTACAGTGGCCTGAGCCACAACCAAAGCAGAGGATGCCCTGCTGAGCATACAGTGTCAAGTCACCAATTTCATTTTGCCATGACCAAATTAATTCCAAGCGAACTAGAATAAGATTAAATATTGTAAGTCCTTAACAATGTCATTCTGTACTCACTCACTGAGAACTAAGTTACAGTTCAGCATTGTCTTACTCCTCTACAAGCATGAGACTTGAGCCTCACTCAAGTCTTGAATGAGACCTTACATATGTGCAACTGGTTGCAAGCCCTATTAATTGCAAAGGTTTCCTTTTGTGAGCAGGCATGCTTAAACGGTATTAAGTTAGGTTGCAAATCAAAGCTTGTTATGTAAACAATACACAGGTCCTGTTTTGTTTTATTACTACTCATCTGAATGGTCTGGTTGAACCAACTTCTAATAGGCTCTATGAGACAAGAACTCATATCAGATCTTACTGAGGCTCACACTATCTCTGACTGATGCCTCTGCTCTTTTATTTGAGATGCATGCTAGTCATTGCATTGTATTTATACAAGGACAGTTTTCATAAAAGTCTCCTTCCCAGACGTTTAAGACTTCAGAGTTTCTATAATTATTACACGATGATCATATCCACTAAATTATTTCTATATCCTTGTTCCATTGTTATCTACTCCAAAGCTGCATATTAAGTTATATTTAGTATTGAAACACAGCGTAACTCATTTTTTGTCAGTATTATTCAACAGTCATCACTATCATCGTTATTAATAGTCAAGGGCACAAGAGAGAAACTTTTTAACTTAAACAAATAGCCCTAAGTGAAGGAAGCAGAAAATCGATAATTTTATTTGAATTTATTTGTTTGTTTATGTGTGTATCTGTGGATTCATCTATTGTTGCAGCCCACTAGAACTCAAAGTACAGATATTACGGGGAATATGTGTACATGGAGAGACAGTTTGATGCAGTGGTTAAGGCACCAGACTAGAAACTGGGGAATTGTGAATTCTAGTCCTGCTTAGGCTGGGTGGTTTCAAGTCGATCATTTTTTTTCAGCCCTAGAAAGAAGGCAGTGGCAAATCATTTCTGGAAAAATGTTGCCCAGAAAATTGTAGGGAGTTTTCCAGGTACACTCTCCAAGAGTCAAGACTGATTCAAAGGCACCCCCGGATATATACACGACCTACTAAAAGAGCAAGATTTTTACCATCTTCTGAGGATCAATGGAATGTATTCTTGCTTAAGGAAGTAGGTTGTTCCGTAAGAGAGGAGCTGTATTATAGGAACCGCTCTTCCAAGGTGAGCCCCATGAGTAGATGGTTCCTGGCCATCTAGGTTAGATAGGCAGTTTCTTTCTGGGAAAGATATTGATGTTAAGGACACTATTCAAACTATGAATGCAGTGAAATAGAAGGGTGGAAATGCTAGCCACAGTGTTGTGTCACCTCCATTCTTACTGAAAGTCACGGGTAGCCATGAAGTTCATTTGAGTTTGCTTGCTCCAAGAATGATTGGCTGGAATCCTATTTAACTATAAACTGTGTACAGTTTATCCAAACAGAATTACATTTACGAACGACTTAATATGAGTCATGAATTGATTAACAACAGACCCCGCCCTCTTCTCCTCCTTGCATCATATTCCCTCCCCCTATCTTTTTAGCAAGGTTAATTTTATATATATATATATATATATATATATTTTCTTAAGTTTTCGCGGGTACTTACATGTATGGCATTCAGCTTTGTTCAGGTATTTTCCCATGTCATTGTAGTTGTGCTTTTAAAGTTGTAGCAATGTTTCAGCAGAATCTCATCTGCCATCATCAGGCTTCTATATATATCTCTTTGGTTATTCGGGTTTTCTCCCGCATAAGATTGGAAGTATCTAGGTGACGTTTCGATGAAGTCTCATTCATCATCTTCAGGCTTGTTTCTTCAGCTTTGTGCTGAAGAATATATATATATATATATATATTACCAGTAAATTATGCAGTTTTAACTTTTAATATTGTAAAGCCATCCAAAATGACCCTGGGCGCCTAATAAATTTTACAAATAAATAAATAAAATAAATAAATATACCAAATCAGATCACTGCTCTAATTAGCCAATGAGCAGTCTTGGATAAAAAATCTTGTTATCGGTGTTATTGGTCAGATGTGCAGTACCTTTGGAACTCTAAATATTATTATAGGGTAACTTCCATCCAGAAGTATCCACAAGGAAGGTCAAGAGCATCAAAATGATGGACAAGACTGGCAATCAAAGTCCTGTCCTTTGAAATGTGGGTCTCCTGTATCACATAAAAAGGGATAGAGCTTTCAGTGTCTGGTCACACCTGCAATTTTGATATTGTTGGCCTCCTCTGCAGACACCCCTGGTCCCACCCTTCCTGATCTTTATGCAGGATGCCAAGATAATTTTCTATAACTGCATGTTATTTACGCTTTGATCTTTAAGAAACTAAAATTCTTCTTGATGAAGTCAAAATAAAATTTTGATCAAATTGAAAAGAAAGTTTAAAACTAGTTTGAGATATTATAGACTTAGACTTACATACTGCTTTGTAGTGCTTTACAGCTCTGTCTAAGCGGTTTACAGAGTCAATCTATTGCCCCTAACAATCTGGGTCCTCATTTTACTCACCTCGGAAGGATGGAAGGCTGAGTCGACCTTGAGCCTGGTGGGATTTGAACTGCCAAATTGTAGGCAGCTGGCTGCAGAAGTATTTTGCAATACTGCACTCTAACCACTGCGCCATGGCAGTGCAGAAAAATCTCTTTCTCTCTCCCTCCCTCCCTCCCTCTCTTTCTCCCCTGTTTATGGAAGAAATACCAGTAATGCACCATTTGTTTAGTTATTCCTTTCCATAGAACGACCTACAGAAGTGAATCACAATCTATCTACTTATTCTATCAGTAGATCGATTTCTCTCTCTCTCAATATCCTAGGAAGTAATGTTAAATTCCTAGGTTAACATCAAATGGTAATTCCTTATGAGAGTATTGTTGATGACAGAGTTACTGAGAGCATGCAATGATGCACCTTGAGGTGAAATGACATTTTGTCCCCAAATTTTTCCACCTGATAAAAGGATATAACGGACTGTCCCTGTATTCTTTTCAATGTTGCTGAAATGACTCTGCTGAATGGTTTTATCGCTGTGGCATTAAATCAAAGGCAGCCTTTAATCAAAAGCTATCTTCTGTTCCCAGACCATCGTTAGAGGAAATAAACCTTGCAGGGATGCTTCAATCAATGGCTTGCTAGAAGAATTTGACAATATCTCCGTGACCCGTTCCAACTCACTTCGGAAGGAGAGTCCTCCCACGCCTCACCTGAGATCCTCCAACCATCTAGAAATCCACCAGCAAGAAAATGGCTTTGTCACCTATTCCCAGTATTCCAGCGAGTCAGAAACAGGGACTGATTTCTTTGTCGAAAGGTACAGAGACAGATGCCTTCGTGGGGAAGAAGCAGATAGATATTCCCAAGGGAGCTGTGCTGTGAAGCAAAATGGACACCTGGCCAAGCTGAAACCCAGTGAGATGTATTTTTCTGAAGCCAAGCCTTTGAAGTCTGACATCTCTAGATTCTTACCAGATTATCGCACTTCCTTGGAAACAAAAAGTAAACTGAATGAGTACGGTGGCCTGAAGCTGGAATATCAGAGGGCGCCTAGTCATTCTTCTTTGGATTATAAAGAGCCTTTTCATTATGCTCTCTCTAGAACTTCTCTTCACAGTCAATACTCCAGAGAAGGACTAGAATACAGTGACAGTGAGTGGTCCAAGGATGAGTACGACAAAAGACCAAAATCCTCCTATGTGAGCCAGGCAAGTCCTCAACCAGCAATGAGGCAAAGGTCAAGGTCAGGGTCTGGCCTTCAAGAGCCAATCCTGCCCTATGGAGCAAGTGCTTTTAAGTCCAGTCAGCAAGGGTATTCCTACAGCTCCTACACCTACCCGCGATTGTCGGAAACAACAGCAGGCGTTCCAAAGGTAAATTTATATAGGTCCACATTTTCAACCTTATTATAATTTCAGTATTTTAAACACGTTGTTTTCCTTTGGTTATCACCGCAGTGCCTCAGTCCCAAAGAGGGTTTGTCTCCCAGAAAACTGACATGAGTTAACATGAAAGTTTTCTCATTTTAAATCCTTGTCATTGTGGTATAATGAACAGAATGCAGTATTCCTGCTTTTTTCCAAATATGGAACAGAAGTCAAATCAAATTAATACAGGTACTAAGTAGAAATATCTAGTTGATAGGCTAGATATGATAAGCAATAGAAATATATGGAACAAGTCCATTTCTAGGAATTTTCTCATATTTTTTCCTTGTGGATTAATAGCTTCCTGGCACTTCAGATATCCCTGTGTTGTTTCCAGTTATACATGCCAATATGTATATGATTAAATGCTTTTTAAGCTACCTATTTTTCAAATTGCTGCAGGCTTAGTTGTGCATCTTAGTTTATGTTTGGATGAGGTTTAAGACGCAGATGATACATAATGTATGTTTCATAAAGAGTTGAAATATTCAACTGGCTTGAATCAAAGTGACTACTCTTGTTTTCCCTCATACTTATTTCTTGGAAGCATTTGCACAAACTATCGTACATAAAATCATTTTCTTAGGAGAAAATAATCTGGATAAAATCAGAAAGAAGGTGGTTAACTTAGGGGAATTAGAAATGCAAATCTACTTGATTCCCACAATATCCCTTGTTATAGTAAGCACCCAATTGCCATAGCTAAATTGGCTGAATTGTTTAGTTTAGCTTGTAGATGCCAGATATGGCAAACATCCTGCTTTTTATGAGGCATTGTTCAATAGAGAAAAAAGGGGAAAGTTTCAGGGCACAGTCTTTTCCCCAAATAAATCTCATATTGGGATATCATTTTATAAAGTATCTGCTTTTTATTCTGTCTTGTCTGACAATTGCAACCAGTCTTTGATCAGGCTTCTACTCGGACTCAAATATGTGTGCAGGAATGAATCATGAATGAATGTTGAAATGAAATTAAGCTAGTGATGATATTTTGTGAGTTGTTAAACAACAGACAAGTCCCATACTTGTTCAGCTCATTAGTTAAGATTTGCTTGTCCTAGTCATTTTGGATTTTACTTTCCCCAAAAGATTCAACAATTCTACGCCTTCATCAATAAATCTACCCCTACATTTTCCAATAGATCATCATCGCCATCATACTGACACTTTTCTATTTTGAAACTAATTTTTCCTCACAAAATACTAGAAAAGGCCCAGACATTGTCACAGAATAAATGTTAAACCATGCACAATGAATATTTACTTTCTAGCACAAGCATATGTTTGCTGGTGATTTCTAAATTATCACTGTGTCCCTGTAAGCCAGGTAGATAAGACTATGGAAGAAGCTTTTCATGTTGTTATCTCATGTTATCTGAGTTAATACTATTGAACTCAATGGGATCTTTGCACAGCAAGAGCTGATTTATCAGATTCAGTCTAGGGCATTGTGAGCTGATGCCACCCCAAAGAATAATAAAAGGAATCTCATCTTCAGAGCAAAAACCCACACAGTCTAGAGCAGGGGTGTCAAATTTGCAGTCCACAGGCTGAATGAGTCACGTGCTGGCCACACCCACTCCCGGTTTAGCGAAGGGGGAAAAAGTCACAATATGTCGTGACGCCGCGAATTTGACGCCCCTAGTCTAGAGCTAGCTAACTGTTTTCAAGTCAAGGGCTACATTTACTTTAGTGTGCCAGGACCTACACTCCAAAATTAAATACAGTTAAGGTATTTAACTCCCACTCCCCACTCCTATATGTCTAATAATTTCCCTTCCATCTCACAGAAAATGTGTTTGGTGGAAGCATCTTGGAGGGCTTTGTGGAATTGCTTGTGAAGTATTTGGTCAATCACTATCTATGGCCTGCAGTCTTACATGGAACAACTATGATAGAATTGCCAACCTGTTTCCAACATGGCTGCTCTGATACCTTCAGAAAACGCATGATCAGAGCGGAAAGCTGGCAGATTTACTTTTCTGATTGGAATTCAAAGAAGTACTTTCTTGTCAAAACTCAGCCCATGTATCTGGCTGCCATGGCTAATAACTCTTGATAGCACCAGACATATTCACCCTTGAGGTAGTTGACTAATTCCTTTTTAAAGCTGTCTAAGCCCACAGCAAGTCCCACATCATCAGCCAGCAAATCCCAGATCTTTGTCACGACTTGTTCAGGGCATTCGTTTTTTTAAGCTGTTTTAAGTCAGCTTCATGTTTCAGGTGAGCCTGCAATGGAAGTATACAAACCTAGCCATGTTTTATCCTGGGCAGTATAGCCAGTCAAAAAGAACACGCTTCTTTTTTTCTGTCAAGCCACAGAGGAAGTTGTGTGAACCCATTATGGAGGGAAAAAGCAGCAGTTAATTTCGTTTAATTGAACAAGTCAGCTTTGAGTGGAGTTGACATCTGTTGTCCATTTTTCAGTCCGTTGTGAAGAAATGTAATTTATACTGGCTAAATTTGTGGATGAGTGCCTCATTTGTGTTAGGATCTGCTAGGCTCATGTTACTTTGCGGGCCTCTCCCGCACCTTATTTCTTTGAGGTCTCTTAATCTCTTGCTTTTCTTGCTGTTTTCCTATCCATATTTTTTCCCTACCTAGCTCCAAAAAACCTGGAATTATTCAAGCACCAGGGCCCTATCCACTGCTTAGCAGGACCAATCTGGGCACCTCTACTCACAAGGACGTGCTGCTGAATTCTATGAGACTTACTTTGAGGGCAGCTTATGTAGAATTGCAAATGAGAAAGCCTTTGTGCCAAGGAGAATAAGCAGATGCATTTGAGCTCCTTTAACACCAAGCATGTTCCGCCTCACTGCTGTGACTTTGATGGATGTCTTGTCAGAATTTAATCTGCTTCATTGACCTGGATTTGAGAAAGTGATTCTTTTTCACTTTCCTTATCTTTTCCTTAGGCCAGTTTCATTCATTTCTATTTCTATTTTATACTTAGAAAGGTATATTAATTGTACGTGTTTGTCCGATTTCTAGCTCGTCGTGATCTTATCACTCCCAGTGGGATATAAATTCAATAAATATGGTACATGTTATTGACTTTGCAATGTTATAGATATCTGTGCCCGGACCTTGTTAGGTTGTTTACAGTTTTTTTTTTTTACTGCATACATTACAGAAAATAACATGTGTAAAAAGTATGAATGAAAGTATCTTAACTGTAGCTTTTTATTTTTTTCCTGAAGACTTTCATGCAGAACAATTCTGACATTTATTAAACTACATGTCAGATCACTAATGGGCAGAGGGATTGATTTGATCATGGGATCCAAGAGTTAAGGCTTTTACAGAGGAGGCAGAAGGAACACAATCCAGTCTGTTCTCTATATTACAGTTTTCTTAAACTGCACAACCATTAATTTTTAAGGTACAGAACTGCATGTAATGCAATGGAGCCAGGTTGGAAAAAACCAGACCATTGCTTTATCTCTTCCAAAAAAAGTATAAATCACTGCCAAACAAAAATGCTGTATAATAGTATCCAAAGGTGTAGTCCAAAACCACATGACAGGGCAATCCTGCAAAAGCCAAAAGCATAAATATGTAACTTCTTTTGGATAAGGTGTCCTTTCCCACAGTCTTTGTTATTAAAGCAACAAAAAGTTGTAGTGACTTGCTGTGTGATCTATTTAAATATAGATTCCATCATATTTGCTCAGGATTATGCAGTGCAGGTTCAGGACCTTATTTTCTTCTTTTTGTAGTTTCCAGATTTCCACTTATGGTTACAGAGGGTAGTTTGGAAAGTAATGTCTAGGTAATATTTCATTGTGATGTCCCAAAGTAGGAGCTTTTGTTTAAAAATATCTAATTGTAGTATTCCCCTCCAACCCAGAACAGAATGATGCAAGCTAACTGACAGTGCTTAGTTTTCAATGTAGTGCTTTTCATTCATGGTGACAGAATCTGGGATCAAAAAAAGTATTGTAAGTAAATATTTTTGTTTATGGAACCAAGATACTCTGCCGCTTGAATCGTAGAGTTAGAATATTGTTCTAAAAGGTTATCAGCAGAGCAGCCATCAAGACTTCACTGCCTCTGGCAGTCAGCTTCATTTCTTCTAACTCAGATAAAATTCTTGGCCTGTCTTAGACTATTATTATTATTATTATTATTATTATTATTATTATTATCCTTTCACAAAATATTCTGAGCTCTTCCTAAAAGGTTGAATTGACGTACAATTCTCATATGCATCTATTTTTCATTTCCAATTTATTTATGCCTCAGAAATTTGCTACTCCAAGATATAGTTAGAGGATAATAGACATATTTATTTCGGTACTGATGAATGAACCGTCTTTAAAATAAAGTGGCCAACCTACCCATTGGTTTTAGCTTTCAGAACAGGTTCCGAGAGCCAGGGAAATCCTTTTCTCATCAAAACTTCCTAAGAAATTAAGAAGAAGAAGAAGGACCAATGAAGGCATCTCCAGGGGTGGTTAAACAGAGCCAATTCTTGTTGTGCGTCTCTTTTCCTGCGCTAGGCGGAACTCGGTTGTTCCCTCGCTGTGCAGCAACCCACGGAGATAAATTGATGCCGCAGCAGGCTTCCCCTATCGCTCCTCCCTTACAGCCTTAGCATAAAATGGTCAAACGAAGTTCCACTGCAGAATTCAATTTCACAGTTCAGTTGGGTCCTTGATTACACTGCCAAATTCAGATTAATGTGCATTTAACTAACATGGATCAGAGGACTTCTGGCTGGCAGCCAGCAGTGAAACTAGTAACTAAACTCTGAATGGAGCTTCTGTTTTGTCCACCCCTGCCTCACACTTTGCCACTGAAATTGATTGATTAAATAAATTCACTGCTATAATTATTTGCAATCGTGCTACATCATGAGTCTGTTTCTAAATTCCCCCACCCACCTACCCACCCACCCACCGTGGAGTTGCTACGAGCTTGCTTGCTTTGCACAATGCT